TTCTCAAGTTGCTGAACTTTTATTCATCTCTAACTTTCAGTGTTCAAATGTCAATTAATCCTTATTTAAAAATTCTACTTCTGCCCTGGCCGGTTTGGCTCAGCCATTAGAGCATTGGCCTACGGGTTTGATTCCGGTCAAGGGCGCGTGCCCTGGTTGGGATTGTGTGGGAGGCAACCAATCGATGTGTCTGTCTGTCTGTCTGTCTGTCTTTCTCTCTCTCTCACACCCCCTCTCACTCTATTTGAAGATAAATGAAAAAATATCCTCGGGTGAGGATTAAAAAACAAAAAATTTGCCCTGGCCGGTTTTGCTCAGCTGTTAGAGCATCGGCCCGTGGACCAATGAGTTGTGGGTTTGATTCCAGTCAAGGGCACGCACCTCGGTTGCAATTTGTCCCCGGCCCTGGTTGGGGTTGTGCGGAATGCAGTCACTCGATGTGTCCCTTTCACGCTGATGTTTCTCGCTCTGTGTCTTCCTTTCTCTCCCTCCCACTTGGTCTGAACAAAAATGGAAAAGTATCCTCGGGTGAGGATAAAAAACAAAAAAACCCAAACAACAAAAAACTCTACTTCTTTATTTCTGTCCAGAGTCATGTGTGTCCAGCAGCCCAAATAGATATTCAGTGACTCAGCAAACACTGGTTGAACAACCCTATGCAGAATCCCCTCTTTGATGCAGCAAGGAGATGTGTAAAACATTATCCCTGCTCCTATGGGTTTGTAATTGGGAACAGGAGGCTGTGACAAAAATACACAAAAGAATCAGGTAGACATGAATGTTACAGTAGAGGCACCAGCAACGTACTGTGGAAATACATAGATTGACTCAGAGACAGCAGGACACTGGGTACTTGAGGGGTTTCCCCAAAGAGTAGAGTTTCCTGGGACCGGTAACCATCTGTGTAATTTCACCAGGGGTAACTGTAGCAAGAACAAAGACTAGGAATTGAGAGGTAGGAGGGCTGGAGAGCGGGCTTGCTTTGGGTCTAGTGAGAGGTTGGCCTGGAGGAGTGGGGTGAAGCAGACACAGCGTTATAAATATATCAGGCAGAGCAGATGCTTGGGCCCGCTATGGAAAGGAGCAGGTGCACAGCCACCTATTTTTACAGAGCTTCGTCTCCGCCAGGTGCCACAGGCAAGGCTGCAGTGGCTCCGGACACCTGTTCACATGCACATTGCCAAGGCATTATGTCTGCTTTACAGAGCACCCAGGCTCTCTGCTGAGCTATACATACGTGTGCTCTTGCCTGTCCTCGGAGAGGAGAAAGACAGGAAGTCGCTCTTCTGCTGTAATGTCCATTATGCTCTTAAAAATGGAGCTCCAGCCCTCAGTTTTTCTTAAGAATAAATGACTGAAGGAGTCCAAGAAGTTTGTGGGGACCACCGGAGACAATCATAGACATGGATAGAGGGTGGCAGTGTCAGGGCCACTCTTTTAATCAGCTAATATTGAGGGGTTCCCTCACAACACTGTGCCTCCAGAGCAGTGACAGCAACAATACACACAACCACCTAACAGTCAGACAACAACGCACAACACATACAACAACATATGCAACACATAAAACAACATACACAACAACATATACAGTCAGACAATGATATAACACAACATATACAACAACATATATGATACACAAAACAACAGATACAATACATAAAACAATACATACAGTATATACAGCAACCTACGCAACACATGCAACAACACGTACAATACATACAATGCTGTGGTTCCCACTCAGGCCAGGGTCACTACCCACACAGAGGGTGTTGGGGAATGTGTGTACATGCATCAGGGAGGTATTTAATGGGAGGGGACCAAGGATGCTAAATGTCCTGCCAGGTGTCAGTCCCCTAGAACAAAAAGTTGTTTTTCCCCATCCATGATTCTTGAGTTTATTGACTGACCTTGAAAGTGGGTAGGCAGCCATTATTAAAATGAGATCATTTATGAAATCTTACTGATCCGAGTGCAGCCTCCGTCCACAGTATCCATGGGAGAAACAGTGTGGCACGGTATTGCAGGCTGAAGGGATGGACATGACGTGGGGGCTTTCTGCACAGAAAGCCTCAGACTGATGACCATGGTGGCACCTCAGGCTGACAGCTGGCTGCACCGAGCCAGTGTTCTCTGCAGAGAATATAGGCAGTGACAGGCAGAATGGTGTGGGACTTCCCCTGGCCAGTCGCGCGTCAGTGTAAGGCATGGATTCTCTTTGGTGGCAATATCCATGAGCCACGGCAGGTCTGGGGAATTTGACAAGTACCTGGGGGAACTGGTAGTAACATAACAGATGGCTCCACTTTATTGCTTGGTCATACGCTTGGTATTCTCAGAACACACGGACACTGATACCCCAGCCACCTGCCTTGAGGACATTTCCATTCCTGAGTGGAGAAGGGCCTGAGAAATCGCGCACCTTTGGAAATGATGTAACTGCCAGTAAATCAGTCTTTGGCCCTTCAGCAGTTACAAACAGCAAGAGGTTATCGGAGGCGTCAGAGCTTAGCAGGATGCCTGCTCCGCTCCAACCCGCCAGAGTCCTCATCGGCGTTCGCGACGCCTGCAGTTGACAGCACACTTGGTATGTGAATCAGCCCAAGTTGTCATGGAACATTATAGAATCCAATGGAGATAGGCATTATAAATCCATGTCTTTATCACATTTCCATGCCTTTTAGCACCTAGTCTGTGCCCTGCAAAATAGGTGAGCTGGGGAGATAGCTCGCCAGACACCGTGTTTAAATAGAATCCTGAAGGATTGTCAGTTAAAGGACTTGAGAGATTTTGAGTGGAGGGTTTAAAAATACCCACACTACATCTCAGATATGCAAAAGATGCAAACTATTCTCTAACTGACCTGATCTTTCTCACCTTCGGGGGTCAGGGGGTACTTAAACTTGCTATTCAGAGAGATGTTATAAGATTAAGAGACTGGAGAGCCTTCACCCTGAACGTAGCCCTCCCGCTTTGACATGTGAGCCCACCATTCACAACCGAGAAGAGGGAAGAGGCAAAGACACTCCGCTCGGAGGTTTGCCTCTTGTCCACCTTCTCAGTCTAAATGCCCTCCCTGTCATTCACGGATCAGGGTACTCAGCTCATCACCATTAGTTTCATCATAAATGTATGGTGGAAGAGGGGATACAGTGTCTACTTCCTCCAAGTGAAGCCTCCAGGGGTGGCCACTGAGTTCTTGTTAACCACACAGGACACTTTTTTCTGACTCACCCAGTGGATTTTCATTGCTGGGCCTTTCGGAGGTAGGCTTTGTTTGGGGTAATATCCATGTTCTTGATACTTGCTTCAGAGTACATATGTTTTTATTTTTTAAGGCAATAGGTGTTTAGTAGCATTTCTTTTCAAAAAGCATCTGGCTGATTTTCTGAATCAACAGTTTTTCTTCAGTAATATTTGGTTTTGCAAAGACATTAACTCATTTGGATGCTGGGTCAGTTCTACACAGTGAATGAAATTTTGACTTATGTTCCTCTATTGATGCATTTTCTGATACAAAACAGTGGCAAAAAAAAGGGAAAATTTAAGTACAAAATTTATTACAGTAAGAAGATTAAAACAATTTTCTTATGTAAACCAAAATTAACATTTGTTTCACATGTCCACCAGTGGTTGGAAAAAACATCCATTACAAATGCAAACTCTGGATGAAAGCCCAGTGATAGAGCTTGTTCAGTCAGTGACTGTGCTCAGAGCCCAGGGACAATTTCAGGATCACCGTCTCGGTAGAGGGATAGAAAGAGAAGAGAAGAGAGGCATAATAAATTACATTGCTAATAAATGATCACCTTCCTGTTTGACAACCTGCATATCCAGTTATGCCCTTGATGTCAAGAACTCAAATCACAGCCCTGGCCGGTTTGGCTCAGCGGTTGGAACGTCGGCCTGCAGACCAGAGATTCCCAGGTTCGGTTCCTGCTGGGAGCATGTACCAAAATAAAGAAAGAATTCAAATCACAGATGCCCAAATTCATGTTTCATGTAAAGGAACCAGGATCTCCTTTTATGTAGCTTCCTGTGTATTTTTCAGGACATGCTTAATCTGTGCACTCAGCAATAACAGGAAGAGAGGGCCAAGGGCCCATCCCATCTCAGTGACCTCTTCCTCCTTGAAAGATCTTCATCCTTCTCATCACTGTCCAAAGCCCCTCCCTGGCCCACTCACTAATGGCTGCCTGTGACCACTAGGAATTATCTTTCGTCATCAGTATAATGATCAGGTGAAAGAAAACGGTATCAAGAGGTAAGGGCCAACTTCCTGGGTAGAAAACCTGGAGGCCTTATTTACATTTTAAAAGAGAATCCAGCAGATGAACCCTAAAGCAACCTCTGCTGCTTTCCCAAGGACTTTAACATACTGGCTTCACTTCCTGAAGTGGGGAAGAAACTCTAACATCCCTGTGAGGACGAAAGTAAGACGGGGCTAACCTAGCACAAAAGTTGGAAAAAATACATCTCCCATACCCCTCTGTGGACCCTCCTTCATCCTCCTGGAAATAACTGTATGTCACTGGAAAGGTTTCTTAACATCTCAGCCTCAGTTTATGCATCTGTAAAATGGGAATAACCATCGTACCCATCTCTGAAGGTAATAATGAAGGCTAAATAAAAAGCACAGAAAGTTCAAAGCACAGAGCCTGCCATATAGAAAATATTTCATAATTGTTAGATATTAATCCCAGCATAAATTCTTCATTTAATAGAGGAGGAAACTGAGGCCCAGAGAGATGAAGGTTCTTGTCCAAGCTCTAAGCATCAGGCTGCGTGTCTTTCCACCACTCCATATCCAACTTGTCCTCTTGTAGTAAAACAAAGTACAATGAAGCTGACAACGTTTCTTAGAGACTCTAGATCCCCTCGGGGAGCTCTTGCTCGGGGTTGCTGATGTGGCCTTTCCCCCCACAGCCCCTTGTCTGCTTTTATTTTTAGCAGCCGTGTCCGTGAGGAGTTCTGTGTGCCGGAGGGCTTGCCCTGCTTCAGCACTCTCGGCTTTGCCCCTGGGCATCCTGCGATGGTGTTGCTGCTGCTGCCCTGGCCACGACAGACTCGTCATAGGATGGCGGTGCCTCTGGGTGGGCATCATTTTCACCCTCTAATTCAAGGTCCATCTCTGTGTACAGAGGTGGAGGAATGTCCAAGGCCTCTCCCTCTGCAGGACAGGTTTGCTTTTCAGCATCAAGACTTTCTTCATAAGCAGGAGGGTAAAAATCTGGCCTGGGGGACAAAAATGCCACAAACATGCATATGTTATTTAAGCGGTTCGCGCCAAAGAGGCATATGTCTGCCTCTCTCAGATCACACTGTGTGAAGTTAAACTGTTAAGAAACATTGATTTTGAAACAGATGTATTTCTTCCCTGGCATCACCAGTTCTTGCAAATGTGTCCCTCTTCCAGCAGAGCCTCTTCATCAGCCGTAAGATGTGGGTCTCTATAGTCATACTTTCCCAGCGGGTTATTTCAAGCTATCCTCCCTCTCTTACTCATTGCAACCAGGGCCTTTCAGTGTGAGAGCCTTAAGGGTGGGGGACATGGGCCTCGACTGTGGAACTTCTCTACCCAAGTATTCAGTCCATTCACATCCTTGTCTTCATTCAGACACATCATCTTCTACTCAGTTACACTCACTGTCTCCGGTTCTCACAGCCAACAAACTAATGAATGAAAACCAGCTCCATGCAGTTCCCTGAATTATATCGGATACTCATCTCTTTCCCATCACTCAAGTCTCGGCAGCTAGCTACACACACACGCGCGCGTGCACAACTCATTTCCCAAGCTATTTCAACTGAGAACTTAATTTCAGTTACAGCTTTTTCCATACCATTAGGCCAATGACTAACAGAGCCATTCATGCCGGAGCTGGTAACCTTGCCCAGTGTCGCTAATTGCTAAATCCTCCTGGCTTCTCCATCATGAATGGGATAGGGGGTGGCATGTAGGTGAGGAAGAGGGAGGGTGAGCTTAGTTGTGTATTTATAGAGTGAATTCTTCCAGTGCCTACAGGGAGTGTTTGTGATGTGTAACCACAACAGAACAGGACTTCCAGTTGTAGTCACAGCTCCCTTCTAAATGTGACCAGGCCCGAAGCCAAATGGCTGACGCTGCCATCTACAGTACAGCCCGAATCTCAGCCTTCATCAGATTAGCCAAGGCTGTGTCGTGGGGCATGTGTGTAAGACATGGAAGACGGAAAGCTGAGCTGTCCCCTAAAGTAGCTGAGAGGCTCCAGGATGACCGCTGCCTGCCCCCCAAGTCCCATTCACCTGTCCCAGTCCTCCCCCCAGAGCAGTTCTCCTTCCCAGTGTCCTGAATGCTGCCATTGCAGACCCACTTAACCTGGGTACCCATTTTGAATGCAAATGCTTCTGAGAAATGTAACTTTCCATTGACCAACTTGCTAGCCATTTTGAGTGAACTGGGCATCAATTAGATGCAGCAGGAAGAGGCAGTAAATGGGGGCGTCGTGATGTCCACAATTTACCTAAAAGCATTTCTGCACAAACAGTGCGATGTTATACATATGTTAGTAGATTTAGGCTACACCCAAAAGGTAATCAGTTACTCTTGTCAGGAATTCATACTCTGGAGACAATTATCTAACATTTATACAAAGTAAAATCAGCACTCTAGAAGCATCTTCTGCAATCACTTCAGTTATCTTAGTTTTTTTTTAATCAAATCCAGAGTCCTTGTTAGGAAGTATAATAAACATTGGAAATGGGTTTTGATTATTATAATTAGTATAATTAATTAGCATAATAATGTCAAAAATCAAGTCATAGGTAAATGACTTTTATTCAAAATATACGGAATAGCTGAAGTATTTTAGATGAAGAGGGTAAAAGAATTTATGGAGTCTTGCAGCCTGAACCTTAAGGATGATGCCTGACATTTTACCCCTAAATAGTCCTGTGTTCAGCCAAGAATTAGGAGGTTTTTGGTTGTCTGATACTAATCATAGGTTAACCAAAATATTCTAGTGTGGTAAAATATACATAACATAAAATCTACCACATTAGCAAAGTGCACAGTTCGGTGACACTAAGCACGTTCACATTGTTGTGCAACCATCACCCCTGTTCATCTCCCAAACAGAAACCCTGAGCCCCACCTCCTGCCTCCTGCCCTGAAACCACTGTTCTACTTTCTGTGCATGAATCTGACTGCGCTGGGTGCCTCATATAAGTAGAATCATATACATTTGTCTTTGTGTGTCTGGTTTATTTCACCTAGCATAATGTCTTCAAGGTTCATCCATATTGCAGCCTGCATCAAACTCCCTTACTTCTTAAGGCGGAAAACACTCCACTGTGTGTACACAGCACACGCTGCTGATCCACTTGCTCACTGACGGGCTAGGCTGTTTCTACCTTCCGGCCAGTGTAAACAATGCCGCTAGGAATGTGGTGCACAAATGTCTGTGCAGGTCCCTGCTTTCAGTCTGCATAACCAGAAGTGGAACTGCTGGATCAAACAGTAGTTCTGTGTTTAATATTCTGAGGAACCTCATTTTCCACAGTGGCTGCACCAATTTACATTTCTACCAGCAGTGCACTAGGTTTCCGATCTCTCCACACCCTTGTCAACAGTTGTGTTGTTGTGGTGGTGTTATAACAGCTATCCTAATGTGGCAAGGTTAACCGGATATTATTGATTTGCCTCAAATGAATCTCTCATGCAAGTTATGCTCACAATACCTAAAAGTCCCCCACTAAGCTGGGACTTCACTGAGTTCATAAAGAGGTTGAAGGACTGACTTTATGCCTGCTTGCTCATTTGCTGTGGGGCAGAATTAGGTCTGGACTTGCTTTTCTTATAACTGGTAGCCAGGTTATGGGGAATAACTAACCACCATCCTCTAAGGACAGCTCCTGTGATATAACAAAAGAACCTTAGAGTTGGGCCTCTTAAATTGGCTTAGGTGGCCAGTGGTTGAGTGTTGACCCATGCACCAAGTGTCGCTGGTTCAATTCCTGGTCAGAGCACATTGCTGTTCTCTCTCATCGATGTTTCTTTCTCTCCCTCTCCCTTCCTCTCCCTCTAACATCAATAAAGAAAAAATATATTTTTAATTGGCTTACGTGGGTTTTTGATGTGTGTGTGGTGGGAGGGGGGTCTCTGAGATAAATTCCCTTTACTTCCTGATTTTCCCCAGAGGCAGCACATATTTCTAATAACTAACCCAGAGCAATTCCCTGACGATCAAGCTTCTGTTCTAGACATACAGCCCCGTGAGACATGGAAGTTGTCCCACAATGGATCAGAAGTCATTCAGCTTTTCCAGAACTCAGCCCCATCTTAGCCCCCATCAGTCCTCTGGCTGCGCGGCACATACCTGTCCACTGTGGCCAGGGCCGTGGCCCCATGAACAAGGTGTGATCTGAGCACATGGCTGAACAGCCCTTTGTTTTCGCTTGCCTGGCGGTAGGTGCTCCAGAAAATACCACTCACAAGGATCACAAATCCCAGAGGCAGAAGCAAATAGGCCAAGATCAGGTTCCTCTGACAGCCGAACGTGGAGCCTGAGGAGATGAAGAAGGCCCCCAGGCAGATTATCAGGAAGCCTGTCGGGGGGGCAAGGGCACAGAGAGCGGCTCCGGTTCTGTTCCGCATCCCTGCTCCTTTGGAAGCCGGCTCCCTGACCCTGCCACTCCCCTGCTTCCCTCGCTCAGAGAGAACGCTCTCATTAGCCAGCTCGTAGCTTTATACACTCTGGGACCAATTGGCCTTTGGACAACTAAATGAAGCAGGCACTTAGAAGCTATTCATTAACCATTGAAAGTACCTATAATATTGTTGGAGGATTAACCTGAAAACACAGCGTTGTGAACTATAGAAAGGAGTGGTGTTTCATAGCTGTCTTGTTCTTCTGAGCTGGACAGGACCCTCTGCTGACCCCAGTTATTGGAAGGGAGGTCTCCCATCCTTTGATTGAAAAAGCACTGGTGTCTTAATGCTCACCGGGCGTAATTCCCCACGGATGTTAGCGAAATTAGCATTCCTCGATGAACTATCTTCTTTGTGGTTTGGTGGGAAGTCCTTCCCTGATTTCTTCCTTTTTTTACTCTGTACCAAAAAGATTTTTCTTAAGGCTCTTACCATGTTTGTCTTGCCTCTCTCAATGAATCTTCCTTTACTGCTTTCGCACTATGATATTGAAAAAATTCCAAGAGAAAAGCCCACAGGGTGAACTCCCTGATTCCTTCTCTATTGACAAGAAAGATGAGCATCAGCAGGAGGGGGAAAGAGAGTGATAGAGAGAAGAAGTTTAACAGACAGAGCTTTGGGAGTTTGGGAGGATTTCTGGGGATAGTTGTAAAAGGTGATAATCTGGTGACTTCTGCTCTGATTCTGGTTTTATGTCTTCCCCATTGTTTGTGCCCAAATGCTGTGATCCTAGGGTCATAGAACACAGAGGTGTTCTATAAAAATGTTTTGCTCATTGCTCAACCACTGGCCATCATTCTTGGCTTACTAGAAATGTTTGGACCAGATCCTACCCTTCCTGCTCTAAAAAAAGGCCCCAGGCATTTAGTAAAAGAGTTTTCCCTAAAGTGTGTAGCATGTTACCACCTCCATACAAAACAAATAAATGCATGTGGGAAGCACTGCCTATTCAATCCCCACCCTCCCTCACACTCATTTTAGGGGTTCACAGAACATACTAACATATTAAAGGCTCTGAAAAAGTTCTGCAATCTTCATCCTCTCATAAAATGTATATTAAATAAAATCTGTTTTGGTAGATGCTGCTAAAAAATGTTCTCTGTCTCTCTCCCACACCATTGCACTATGTAGTGTTGTCTCAAACAATCTTTTTAGAAGCAGCCTTCTCTTTTGTCCAGACTTTGTTTCTTCCACCTTGACTGTCTTTAGTTGCAGACACCCTATTTCATATCTGGTTCATGTCCTAATTCTTTCTTTTTTCACTTGATGCTTGTCCCTACCAAAAGTCTGCTGCCCAGAGGATCTCTGGGTCACTTCCGTCCAGAGAGATTATCTTCAGTTCCTCTTTGCTATTCCTCTACCTACTATTTCATTACCATTATTTTTCATTTACTGTCCCAGTGGAAAAGCAGTTTTTTGCACAGTAATCACACGTATAACTTCTAGCCTCATACCCACCATCTCCTCAGCTTCTAGTTATAAGTTAAGAGAGAGAGAGAAAAAGACACAAGATCAAAAATGCTAAATGTCCCCATTTTATCTCCTAACTTCTACCTTTATTAGCTTCGATCCTTACCCTGAACTACTTTCACCTTCTAGTCTTGCTATTATCCTTGAAATCTTAAAACAACTCTTTCTCCTTCCTTCCCCAATTGCTCTTGAGGTCGGCAGATTTCTAAAACGACCCGCAGTGATCCGTGTCCTTCTGAGTGTGGGCTGGATGTAGAGACTTGATTCTAACCAATGGAACATGGCAAAGGTGATGGAATGGATGTCACTTCCATGAGTAGGTTACATAGGGTTGTGACTTCCGTCTTGCTGGCACTGTCTCCTTGCCCTCATCGTTTGCACCCTGTGAGGAAGGAAGCTGCCATATCGGAGAGGCCCATAAGACAAGGAACTGAGGGCAGCTTCTGGCCAATGGTCAGTGAAGACGTGAGGCCCTCAGTCCATGAGCCAGTGAGGAACTGCATCCGGACAATGACCATGTGGTTCTTGAATTAAATCCTTGAGGTAACTGTAACTTAAGCAACACTGTGACTGAGAGACCTTGAAGCCAAGGACTCGGCTAGGTCTTGCCCAGATTCCTAACACACAGAGACTGTGAGAAGGGAAGTGTGTGTTGTTTTAAGCTGCTAAGTTTTGTGGTGATTTGTTAGGCAGCAGAATTAACTAATACAGTTCTTCAGAACTCGGAAACCAGAAGAGACAGTCAATATTAAATGTTAACACAGTACCTGGCACATAGCAAATGCCCTAAGTTAACTGTCATCGCCCTCACCGTTATTGTTATTATTACTGTTGTAATTTTCAAACTCTGGGAAAGACTCAGGATTCCCAGTGGTAAGGTCTGCGCTAGGAGTTGGATCCCCAGAACAGGAATATGTAGGTTGGGCCCTGGGATATTATTAAGTATAGAGGAAGGAGGGACAGCAGTTCCCATGAGAACTGCCCACCCACAGGGTTGGGCTTCTTTGTTTTAGACCAAAACTGGAGGCGAGGGGTGAATCAGACTGAGCGTGTAGATAGGTCAGGCCTAGTTCCTGTGATCACACGGATATTTGAGCAAGGACGTCTCTCTGTACTTCCCCTCCTCCCGTTTCAGTAAAGGATAAATAGCGCCTCGTAGTTTGTCAGAGAGGTTCTTCATCTCCATGTCCTGTAAGGAGGGTCCTGTCACCCAGAGCAGTGTGTTTCTGTTGTGGTTGGTTTTTTGTTTGTTTGTTTGTTTTGGTGAGACATGGGGTAGGAAAGGGCAAGGTCAGCAGATGGCAGGAAGATGACAGGAGTAGTGACTTTACATAAACCCCTGGGCTCAGAATTTTGAAGAATTTGTCTTGAATGAGGTGATAGATCAAGGAGAACTATAGAAGAATCTGTAGTATATGAAGAGGGCAGATGAGAAACGGGAAAAGAATCAATAAAAGGAAGACAAACAATCCAATTAAGAAATGGGCAAAGGACCTGAACAGACACTTTTCCAAAGAGGACGAACGGGTGGCCAGTAGATATATGAAAAAATGCAACATCACTAATCATCAGAGAGATGCAAATTAAAATGACAATGAGGGATCACCTTATACCTGCCGGAGTGGCCGCCATCAAGAAATCAAAAAACAATACGTGCTAGAGAGGGTGTGGAGAAAAAGATACCCCAGCACACTGCTGGTGGGAATGCAGACTGGTGCAGCCACTGTGGAAAACAGTATGGAGTCTCCTCAAAAAATTAAAAATGGAACTGCCATTTGACCCAGTGATCCCACTTCTAGGAATATATCCTAAGAATCCCCAAACACCAATCAGAAAGTGTAAGGAATCGGGGCGCCGCCGAAAAACAGAGAAGAGACTGGAGAGCCAATCAGCCGAATAAACAGGGATCAGGCTTTATTGGGTACACTCCGGGCGGGTTCACAGACTCCGGGGGTCGAGTCCTAGAAGCCGCGCCCGATGCTGGGGTTTGTGGTGTTTATATCTGCCCGTTGCAGCTGGGATTTTTCTGTTAGGGTTTGACCTTGCGGGGCTATGCATGGAGCCTCCGGAATGTGAGTCGATAAGCGCAGGATGGGAGTTAGTCTACAAGCCCGGGTCAGGCTGTTCCCGGAACAGGGTGGGAGTCTAGGCTGAGCAAGCGAGACAATGGTCGAGCAGTTTGCTTGCCAGTCCCCAGACTATCGGACATTAAGAATATATGCACCCCTACATCCATAGCAGCACTATGAACAATAGCTAAGATCTGGAAACAGCTCAAATGCCCATCAGTAGAGGAGTGGATAAAAAAGCTGTGGTACATTTACCCAATGGAATACTATGCAGCTATAAAAAATAATGAACTTTTACCCTTTGGGACAGAATGGAGGGACCTAGAGAATATTATGCTAAGAAAAATAAACCAAACAAGAAAAGACAAATATCACATGATCTCACTTATCTGTGGGATCTGATGAACAAAATAGGTCCAAAGACAGGGAAGCATGGAACAAACTGACAAATCTCAGAGGGAAGGAAGGAGAGGGGTGGGAAGAGATTAACCAAAAAACTTATATGCATATATGCATTGTCCATGGACACGGACCATAGACGGGTGAAAGCTTGGGGTGAGGAGGAGCTGGAAGAAGGGGAGTAATGGAGGAAAAATGGGGGGAGGTCAGCTGGAATACTCTCAACAATAAAGATAAAATTTTTTAAAAGAATCAATATAGAAATAGGAAGTATTGCTGGGGACCATGTGTCTCCATGATGACTGAGACATACCAGTGAAAGATTTATGTTAAAGTTATTTTTGCATGTTTGTATTTATTTTATAAATTATTAAATAATTATGATTTTTACTGTGAGTCAACTTCAGTTCTGAACCACATGGATCACTGCTATATGATCATTAGTCCCCTTTGCTGCCACGAGGAACTAAAGCCAGTTGACTCATAATTTTTTTTTTAATTTTATTACTTGTGGAGACTTCCGGTCAAGATGGCGGGTAGGTAAACGCGGTATCGTGTCCTCCCACAACCACATCAGTTACAACTAAACTACACAACAACCATCATTCAAAACCGCCTGAAATCAAGCTGAATGGAAGTCCTACAACTACGGAATTAAAGCAGCAGCCACATCCAGACTGGTAGGAGGGGCGCAGGCGGACGAGCTGGTCCCACATCCACGTGTGGCGGATAAAAATCAGGAGGACACCTCGGCTGGGAAGGTCCTTCCTGAGGACTGAGGGTTCCCTGTCCCACACCAGGTGCCCCGCTCAGGGTTCCAGTGCCAGGAAGAGAAGTCCCCATAACTTCTGGCTGGAAAAACCAGTGGAAACTGAGGCTCAGGGAGGCTGAGGCGGCTGGAGCCCCAGGCAGCTCCCTAAAGGGCCCGCGCACGGACTTATCGGACTCTCTCCCTCTAAGTTTGGAGGGGAGGCAGCTAGAGGGGTGCCAGAGACATACAGGGAAGAA